AAAGAACAGCAGAACATCTCTGCAGAAACTTGTGCACCACTGGTGTACTGGATGAGGAAGAAGATTGAATCCATCATCCAAAACAAAGGGTCATAGAAACAGCAAATCTAAACTGATAGCTTTTAAATTATACACAAGAGTAAATACGTCGCTTTTAAACATAGAAATAATGTGATTATCATAAAGTGATTCACTTTTGAATAATCTGGCATTCAAGTGATATTGCAGAGGGTGTGCTCACTTCTCTTCTCTACTTCACGAAGGTTTTAAATTCAGCAGTTTCAGCCAGTCCAGTGCAACAACAGTTAAATCTATTTGCTGTACAGTTTGTGATGTTCTGTTGATATCTTCACTAACAATGAACTCTGGCGATAAACTGATTGTAAAATTGGACTGATTTTGTGGTGAAACTGTGGTGAGCTTGATTAAAATACAACATCTGAGATATTTATATTACATTTGTAAATTAGCAGATAAAATACATACAGACATACATGAATGCATCGGCGTGAACATCTTGTCATTCCTCCATAATCAGTAGCTTCATGTTTACGTCTTGCTTGCAAGCATCAGCTGAAACTGAAAAGTGCAACTTAATATGCAACTAAGATTTGTATTAAATTGACGTACCACATGTGTGTTTGTTTGTTTGTTTGTTTTAGGTTTTGACACGTTGAAAACTGTCCGGTTCATATCAGGTGCAAGTAAATTTGCCAAATGCTCATTTGTCAAAAGAAAAGAATACAAGCACTGCGGTGAAAAGACATTAAATTCTCCAAATGTTGAAGCGTTGCTATTTTTTTATCTAATGAGCACGAGAAACAAGTTGTGCAAAAGTTGAACAGTGAGTGAGTTAGTGTCTCCTCCGCGGCAGATGTCTCAGCCTGTGCACAGTTTTTGTTGGAAGCATCTCTGTTCATTTGGATATTTTTTTTCAACCTCCCTTCCTTGCAGATCAGTTCTGAGATATTTTATGAGTCTTGCACACACCACATGTTTAAAATCCCCTCGCAGATTTCCAAATTTCCAAAAGCTTCAGCTTGTTTTCTTAAAGTAGTTCATAGTTCAAGTCTGCTGTGGATCACTGTCTGCAGTAGAAAACACTTTCTTGACTCTTGGACATTTGCATCCACAAGTTTATGATTTTTTTAGTGGAATTCTTCCCTTAATCCGTGTTATGTTTCCTGTGGCATCGGCTCCCCACAACCTCAAAGCAGAATATTTCCATCTCAGTGCTGGAACTAATGACTGTGTTCTTTTTCATCTGTCAAATATATTTCACATTGAGTCAATTAGTTGTTGGTCCATAAAATGCAAGAAAATGGTGAATGATGTCCATCGATGTTTCTCAAAGCCCAAGATGATGTCTGCAAATGTCTTGTTTTGAGGAGGAAGGACTCTAGAGAAGGTTCACATTTCAGAAGATGGATTCAGATCATTTAAAAACGACTTAAACCAATTAATTGAAAAAAATTGGTTAGCTAAACAGCTGATCAATAATCTGATGCAACTCAACTGTCAACGTGTTCCATTCAGCAATGTAATTCTTCCTTTTTTCTCCAAACACACCAGTTTGAACATCATAATAATCAGCATAGAACTCTCCTGAACTGCTTTACCATTTTTCAAAGACAATTAAGTCCAAACAAGTGACTGAAATTCAGAGGCACTGCAAGTTTTTTTTGTGTTTCTGAAATAAAAACAACATCTTAAGAAAAAAAAAAAATTGCTGCAGAGGTTGCAATTCTTTTCATTCCAAAAGTCAACAAGACGGCGAATTTAAATCGTCCAAACCAGGCATTCAACTGCACTTTGTTATCGTAGATGACAAAGAATCCAAGTGGCTTTAAATATGCACCGATGAATTAAATGCACACACATTTAAGTTGACATATTAAACGTTCACATGGGAAAAACAAGACGCTTTTTAATCACAGACACAAAGGGCCAGATTGTTATTGAATTAGTCGTCCATCTGTGGAGCTGTTTTCCGTTTTATCTTATTTCCAATTATACAGTTTTCAGATCACGTTGCACCCACTACACACAGGAATTAACCACCCGAGTGGCAACACATCAGCAATTCAGCCGGCTTTTATAAATCACTTCTCAGATTGTTTCAAGTCGCTATTAAATCGTTCATTTAATCCCATTAATGTATTTTCCCATATTAGGCTCATTTTGTTATGTACAAGCCGAGCTGTTGTTTTCACATTTTTTCCTGTTCGAGGGGAATGACGTCGTTTATAAATGCGACATCAAACGGCAGCTTCTGTAGCAAATCTGCATCGTCTCACCATAACCTCAACAAATCATGCTTTTGTTGTTGATTGAGCAGCAGCTGCTTCCTATTACGTTCATACTGCACTCGCCTGTTATGGCAACAGAGCAATGTTTTGGTTGCTTTATTTCACAGGAAGGATTTCATTTGTGGGCGACGGAAAGATGCTTCCAAGGTCTGATGTTTAAGATGTTAGGAGATGAGGTATGTCAAGAAGAATACGTCACAATATTCAGAAATCAGACTAAACTTTTCCTGTTTTAGGTCAGTTAGGATTACCAAAATTATTTCTATTTGCTAAATGCCAGAATAATGAGAGCTGTTTTTATTACTTTTTCAAAGTCAGAAGTTTATATACACTAAGATGCCTTCAAGCTATTTGGGAAAAGTCCAGATGATGATGTCATGGGTTTGCAAGCTTTTGATAGGTTAATTGGATAGTTAATTGGAGGCACACCTGTGGATGTATTGTAAGGCACACCTCAAACACACTGCTTCCTTGTGTGGTAACATGGAAAATCTAAAGAAATCAGCCAAGATATCAAGAAGAGAACAGTGGACCTCCACCGGTCTCCTTCATCCTTGGGTTCAATTTCCAGATGCCTGAAGGTTCCACATTCATCTGTTCAAACATTTATACGCAAGCCTAAACACCATGTGAATGCCCAGCCATCATAGTGCTCAGGAAGGAGGCGAGTTCTGTGTCCCAGAGATGAAGCATTTTGGTGTGAAATGTGCGCATCAACCCCAGAACAAAAGCTAAAGACCTTGTGAAGATGCTGCTGAAGCTGGTAAGAGAGTCATTATCCACAGAAAACCAGTCCTGGACCGACATGGACTGAAAGGCTGCTCAGAGAGGAAGACACCAAGAGCAACATAAAAAAAAGCCAGATTACAGTTTGTAAATACACACAGGGACAAAGACCTTCATTTGTGGAGACATGTCCTGTGGTCTGATGGAACTAAAACTGAACTGTTTGGCCTTAATGACCATCGTTACATTTGGAGGTAAAAGGGGGAAGCTTGAAGCCTGAGAACACCATCCCAACTGTGGAGCACGGGGGTGGTAGCATCATGTTGTGGGGGTGTTCTGCTGCAGGAAGGACTGGTGCACTTCACAAAGTAGATGGTACCAAGAGTCATCATAAGTTTGGTAAATGAGGTGTGGAATCAACCCAGCAGTGGCAACTCTTAATATTGCAATTAGGATACTGATAGTTATCTTTGCTGTTGGATGGAACTGATCCCCAAATACAGAATAGCGCTCTGGTTCACCGTTTATACCTACTTGAAGTTTGACAGTGCTGCATTTCCACATCTCGTCAGCACAGGTCTTGTGTACATACGTTGTACATATTCCTGCTGAGAGGTGGGTGACATCAGCATGTCAACACATTGCTGCCCCTCCTGCCAGGATATAAAGAGAACAAAAAGCTGAAATCGACACCCGCAGACCAGAACCTCAGGAGTGCAGCCTCCTCATATCACAGGTGAGGCACCACCTTGTTTGATCTTTCGTTCTCATCACAGTTCATAATTGCTTTCATCCCATTTCTAGGGTTTACGCCGTGGCATCATTTCACCTCGTGGAAGACTGAGGTGAGGTTCCTGCACCTGTTCGGCTGCTTTGACTTTGACTGGGTGACAGCGAGAAGTTTGGTTCTGCAGCTCCACCTTCCCTCCGGCTACGGTAAGTCTCCATATCTGCTCAGTATCCCAGTGATGCTTCTCAGTGAGTTCGCAAAACCAGACAGAATATTGTTTGGATCAGAAGTAATGCAACCATGTAATGAAGACAGGAGCAGAGCCAGAAGCTCAGTTTAAACAGTCTGAGGAGAAATAAACTCATTCTGAGAGCGGAGGCATCACGAAATGTTGTTTTTTAAAAGAGAGATCCAAAATGATGATTACATCGTGTGCTTTCTGCTCTGACCCTGATCCTCGTTCTGTCTCCCAACCAACACATTCTCTGGCGTTCGTTTTGAGGCCAATGTGGTGTAAATTACGCTTTATTGGAATGACTCTAAAGTCTGCTGTGGAAATTTGATTAAAATCTCCTTCATCTGCAGCAGTGGAGACCAATCTGAGAATGGCTTTGACTGCGTCTGTCACCTCTGGTGCTTCTCTGTATCGGTTGCAAATTGGCAAAAAAAAAAAAAAAAACATCCAGCGTGACATTATGCTGCGTTTAAATGTGGTTGATTTTACGTTGTCTTTGCGCTCCAGGTCAAGCTGCAATGAGGTTGTGTGCGGGACTCTGCGCTGTCCTGCTGTTGCTGAGTCAAGCTCTGAGCGGGTCTCAAGCAGCTGGTTCAATGATTATCAAAAGTAAGAGCTCCCCGAAATCATCGATTATGTGGGCACGGGAAAAATCCAGAAAATAAGAAATGCAGCATGACATAATCTGTCGCACATCAGTGCCCACTTCAATGTTTGTAATCAAGATATAAAACACTCTAATATTGTTGGAGGCAGTTGTAAGGACATATGTACGGTATTTATTACAGCTTTTTCTTTCAGCTGTTTATTGGATTGTATTATCTTTTTATTCAGTAGCCTCCACTGACAGATACTTAATAAACACGTATGTATGCTTACAAAATATAGTATTATGAGCTCTTATAAATCATTTATTGAATGTTAATTTACTGCTTATAACTGCTAAATAACCATAAATACAGAATGTAGTTAAGAAACTGGGAAATAATCCAAATGTTGTTTTTTTTTATATATAACTCATCTTATCAACCATTTTAAAAACTGGATCTGTTCTGTTTTGTTCCTCATAGACAGATGAAGACCTGATGATATATATATATATAGTTACAACCTGAACAGGTCATTTAAATACAGATAGACTTTGGGAAAAGAAAATTTTCAAACAAAACCTGATCGACAATTAACTCTACCACCGTTTGTTGTTTAAGCAAAATTAAATCATATTCTGTAGATTTTCACATTATTATGATTTAATTTTTATTGTTTTACAATTTTGAACATTTTGTGCCTCCATACATCAAACTTTTTCCTTTTTTATTTTTAAAAAATTAATATAAAATTTGTAAAATACGTTTGCAGAAGAAGCTGAAATGCCAGATATCACAAACCCTGAAATTTAAAGCAAAACTATCTGCATGCCTTGATACCATTAGGCAGAAGTGATGCAAGACTTTTTTTTTTCTTTCTTTTCAATAACCCTTTTCTGAATAAGCCAACCCAGCTACTTGTTTAAAGTTCCCTGTCACTATGAGGCAACATTTAACATTTTCTAAGGGCGAGGTGATTATTTTAAACTGTCAGACTTGGTGGGTTTTGATATTTTAATCAATTTGTCTTCGCTTTATGTGTTTCTTTTTCATCCACGTTGCTCAGATCCAGACATCGATGCCTCCTGGTACACAGGCAGAGGGATCAGACCGGTTGGGAGATTTGGCCGAAAAGTCCACAGGAGAAATGAGCGTCTGGGTTTCATCACAGCCGGAGTTTATAGACCGAAAACTGGCAGCAACGTCTGGATCACACAGTGAAAAATGCTTGTGGATGATTAAATATCTACTGTGTTTTCATTTTTCAGTGTTCAGTGTGGGGTTAGAGATTTGGACGCAGATTTAGGAGTCGTCAAACATTGCGTGAGTTATTTTCTGTACGTTGTTTTTTTTTTTTTTTTATAAATGATTTGTGTTTTATTTATAAGATCTTAGTGAGGGATTATGGGAGTTTTTCAGCTTTCAGGCAGGGAGGTAATAAAAGTATTTTAACGATATGTGGCAATCAAAATGTGAAAGTCCGTGAAAATCCGTCCACTTGTACTTCAGAGAGTCCTGGAAAGGGCTTCGTATGGGAATAAACTACATGAATGAACAGCGTGAAATAATAAAGTTAGAATTCAGTGTCGCGTACTGCTTTGTTTTATTGTGTTTGTTGGAGATGTGAACAAGTTTCCTGCGCTGCATTCAGTATTTTAGAATATTGTATATACTAACTATGCAGATAGTACTCAGCATTCCTACCAACACCTTGATTGTTTGCATTCCTGACGTAAGTCCGTGACTAACTTCTTACATTTAAATAAAGATAAAAACTGAATCCATAGTTACGGGAGCCAAACCTGACAGAGGAAACCTGTCTCACTACCTAAAATGATGAACACTAAACTCCCATAAACAGTGCCGTTATCGTTGACTCTGATCTTAATTTTGATTTCCCCATTAGAAACACGACTAACACATTCTTGTATCGTTTAACAGACATCACCACACTGACAGACATGATGTTATATTCAGCTGTTTGTCTGGTGTGTCTAAGAAAGCTACTGATCAATCATACAGAATGCAGCAGCTTGTGTTCTAATGAAAACCAGCCCGCATTCCTCCAATATCAGAAGTCCCATATTGTGCCTCTTTTCAACCAGTTAAGTATAGGATGTCCCCAAAATATGTCTTTGAATTTTTCAGCTCAAAGTGCAGACATGATTAATTTTATCATGACTATATAACCCCTGTTTTGTTTTGTTGTTCCGCGTCTTTAAATTCTGCTGAGTTGCTGCCATCTCCGCTCCCTTCAGGAAAAAGACTCTCTCTGCGTCTGTAAATGACAGAGCGTAGCAAAACAGCTGACGTACATGTAAATGAGAGAGGGAAACCTGTTGTCTAACTTGCTTTCTCTGAGCAATCACTTTACATCAAAATATTGGAGACTTTGTTTTTAATTTTTTTGACATGCGGCTAGAAAATCAGCAGTTTAGAAATGGCTCTGGAGTTAGCATGTAGTATTACTGGGCTGATTTTCAGTCACTGTCTCGTCTCGCTGTGTTGTCTGACTATATATATATATATATATGTTATATTATAAGGAGAACAGCTTTATTAGGAATTTGACTGTAATGAAATGTAGAATATGTGAGCACAGAGCAGAGCAGCAGGGAGGCAAAAATATGTTAACAGCAGCTGAAGTTGAGGCACAACAGGCAACATGAAAACATATTAACCCACACTTTCCTTGTTTATCGGTTTTTAAATTGATCCTAAAATGAGAATAATACTACCACCGCCATGCTTGACGCTAGGTTTGGTGTTCTTGAGGTCAAAGGTCAAGCCTTAAGGTGCTGCTGCCTCCACAACCTGATATTAGACAAGCGGAAGAAGATGATGGATGGATGGATGGATGGATGGATGGATGGATAGATGATCTTAAATTGAGAATAATACTACCGCCACCATGTTTGATGGTAGGTTTGGTGTTCTTGAGGTCAAAGGTCAAGCCTTAAGGGGCCACTCATAGAGAAAGGACTTCTTGCATAGCAGCATCCTATGGCAATGTTGTTGTTTTTTTTAAATAGATCTTAAACTGAGAATAACACTCCCACCACCATGCTTGACGGTACATTTGGTGTTCTTGAGGTCAAACGCTGAGAAAGAACTTCTTGCACAGCAGCATCCTATGGCGATGTCAGACACACCTGACTGCAGATACTGACACCTGTCTTCCAGCAGCTTCTATTTCATTGCAGACCTACTTTTGGATGATTCCTCGTTGACTCTTGAATACTATGAGCAACTGTCTCTTAGCAGCAGGTAACAACTTGCATTTTGGGGATCTGTAGTTGCTTTGAAATGACTCCAAGTGACTTTCCTGACGTGTTCAAGTTGCTGTTTCAGCTCTTTAGAATTTACAATTGCAGCATTTGTGGTTGAGTCCAATGAGTGGATCAAATGAGCCCTATTTAAATTGATTCAGACAAGTCAGCAGCTGTAGTCAATCATCATTAGAAACTCAAGTCTTTACAAGCGTATGTGAACTCTGGCCTGTAGATCCTCTGGCTCAAACCTTCTACAAGCTTTACCTTTAACACCTTTGGTACAGTAACTATTGAAGCAATTCCTTCTAGCTGCACGATGGTTTACATAATCAGAATTAAGCATTAGTCAGCTTTTTGCCATCTTTCAGATAATTCAGACTCCAGTTATTCAATTGTTTATCTTGACTTTATCAATATTTAGGGATGAAGAGTTCAAAATGGAGAAAAGATCATGAGATCACTTAATTGGTTTCTAAAACATCTGCAAAATCTGAAAAAAAAAATCTGCAACAAAAAGATTTACGCGCTCATAATGACAACCAAATCATCCCTCTTTTATTGTTACTGCATTTCATCAGCTCAGTGTGAGGTGTTCCTTTGTTTCTGCGACGATTCCAAATCAAAGAGGGGCCAGCATCCCCTCTGGCTCAGAGGACGATTGGTTTCAATCAGCATAATAAAGCCTCATTTCAGCGATGATTTATCATCGCAGCAATGTTTTAAATCACCGAGCATCAAGAAGTCCACACATCCTGCAGAGAAAGTTGCTTTGTATGGAGAAAACATGGGAGAACATTGCGCAAAGAGCCTGCAGGGGAGAAAGGTTGCGTTGCGCCGTATGGGGGCTACAGCTGTCCAAACGCAAACAGAAGTTTTTCATCCGCTGCCACAATAATCTTTTAAATTTTTATTGTATTATTTATGATGTTCGTTGTCTTGCAAAGTTTATGCCAATGCACAGTGTTAGCCAATCATTATGCCAGGAAAGAAAAATGATCTCTACTCCTAAGAAGACGTTAAAAAAAAAAACACATGCGACAGCTCTGACTTTTGGACCTACCGTACCCAAGAGTCTTTGTGTTAACGCAACGTTATGCAACTTTTTAAACTCAGAATAATAGCTTCAAAATCATGCACATGGTTGCCTGACTTAACATATCGACTCTGTTCTGCACAGTCAGCTCAGGTGATTGGGTGTAATCTCCTGCAAGAAGTGTGCAACATTTTACAGCACCATGTCACCCTCCACCAGTGATGGAGCTTGAGCTAGCTATGGTCCAGCTTAAGGTCAGACATTACCTTCATGCTAATTGCCACTGTAAAATTTAAAGAAGAAGAAGAAGGTTTCAGTACATGGCAGAGGCAATACTCAGAAGTAAAATCGAGAAAAACAAGAAAAAGAGGGAATGACTGAAAGGCTGCAAGACAGAAGCTGACTTGCTGGTTCTTGATCATAAGTCAAGTAAGCCCAGTTTGACAGAGCAGTGGTCGCCAGCCAGACATCTGAATGGAAGGACTCGGCATCTGCTTTATTCAGCTGATGGATGTAGAGTTTGTCTTTGCAGTTTCACGCAGCTTTCCTCTCCTCTTCCACTATCTGTTACTGTTACAGGAAGCAACAACAACACTCTGAATGAGCCACATTAATGACAATACTCACAACCCTGCATGCACATGTTCACGTGCAGCCCCAAAATTTGCGACCGTGCCAACAGTCCACGCTGGAAGCACACGGACTGTCAGGAAAACAAATGGTGGAACACACCAATACTTCATCATCCCCACCCATGTAATTCATCAGATTTTTGACATTTGCTTTGATTTGCTGCTTCGTTCTTTCCACCAATGGTGCTCAGATATAGTTAGAAGTTCTAAATTTGCTAGAAATCCTGTGCTCAGCTCACCTCATGAATAATAACTGACACAGTCCAATGTGTTGCTGTATCCTGTAAGTAAGAGCCTGTGTGCAGTAAGTCACAGCCAGCCTTCCAGAGACATCCACGGGAGCCTTGTGTGTTTTTCTACATTTGATATGTGGGGTAATGCAACCATCCTCTCAGCACACCAACTCATAAATATTGTAATATAAATAGAACATCTGGTATCCGCTCTAAAAGTCGGTCTGTGTACAGTGATGTGGAAACCTTGACTTGGCCTTTAGGTAGCTGGAATCTAACTTAGCCAAAGGAAGAGCACTTCTGTCCAAAAAAACATTTTAATCCACAAAAGAAACTGAAAAACAACTCTAAAGTTCACAAATGAGTATATAGCGTTTTGTCTGTTTAATGTGGTCACAATTAAAAATGTAATAACAAGGCAAGAACATATTAATCATGTCCCTGTTGCTTCAAGGTTTGTCCATCAGGCTTCAAAGCAGCCTGATAATCAAACCGAATTCAGCTTTCATTTTGCCTAATTAAATCTGTTTGAATTATTGACACAATCAGAGACATGTGGACTTGATATTAATCTTCTCATGTCAGTTTTGAGTTGAACCAAAGAGTTTATCTCACCGGTCAGTGAAGCCAAGACTAAAACCAAGAGGGACACCAAGTGAACACAGTCAGTATTTGATACTTCTGGAGTTATTTCTTTTACTGTTTGTGTGTCTGTGACTCACATGAAATCTTTTCCAACTGCATAATAGAAAAATTTGTAATTCCATAAAATCATGTAGAAATTAAATCTAAAACCCGGCCCTTTATATCAATGGATTTATAATCTTCACAAAGGTCTCTAGAAACTTGGAGAACAACTGAACTCTGCAAGGGGGGATCTCCGTCTGAGTTTAATTGCACGCAAATATCAGGCAGGCAGGGGACACACAGTGGAGGTTGTTGGTGTCGGTTCAACACTTGGCAGGGGTTTGCTGCCTGCTGGAAGCTGATCCCAAACCCACTGAGGAAAATCAGTACAAACAGTTGGAGACCATAAACAAATAAAAATGGATAAAGCTCTGTTGAGTAGAGCTATAACAATAATAATAAAAACAATTGTTGTGAATGTGACAGTGAAATAAACCAAACTAAACATGCATTCCTTGGTTAATCTAATGCATATCCGGATACATGCTATGGTGTGCAATAGTTTAGAGGCAGAACCACAAATTCAGAATCTACAAGCTTTTGCACTGATTTTTTTAGCTTTATGCTGATTATGGCAAACAGAGAGAAACAAAAGCAGGCAGCCAATGGTCACACAGATCAGGGCCCGACTTTGCAGCAGTATCCAAAAGGATTGAATCGGCCTGGATGACGCAGGTCCACGAGCGTTGGCTCCTGCCACTCCGACAGACCTCCCTGCTGCTCTCCGATGCACTCGTTCACTCTGTGGGCTGAACCAGAGCTCCGTTACCAAAAGACATCACCCTCGCAGCTGTATTACACAAGAGCATGCAGGCATTTTGAAGGCCAGCAGTTTGGGGCCGTAAAAAAGAAAACTGGCACGTCAGACCTAGATTTAGACAGGATTTTATAGTTTTCAAATTGCCAGTTAGGTTGTTTACATGAAGGGTGATGAAGTGGATCCTGTTGCTTCTGCTGGTGTCTACTGCTCTCTAGTGGCACATGAATTGCAGTTCTTTGGACGTTGAACCTTTGATCCCTGTCAGGCAGATACTCTTTTCGAAGCCCTCCTTAATAAGATTAGAACCCTAAAAGTCTATATTTTAAAGGGTTATTTTAGTGGAACTTGCTGCGACAGGCTTCCAGAAAATTGAACTCCCATATTAAAGCCCCAGTGTATTTCTTTGTAACTTACCTATAGCTAGCAGCAGCTCACTGACTTGATCTCCTGACAGAGCTGAGGTTTCCATAAAGAACAAGCCCCTTTCATTGGCCAGACTCTGTCCCTCCTGTAGTATAAAAAAAAGAAACCAGAGCTGCTTGTCACTGGTAAGGACCTGCTGTAAATGTGATTGTGTATATTAGGTAGTGATTCATTAGAACTTATTCATGTTCTTTTTGGTGTCTATATTACCCTTGTTGACACTTGCCGATCCGTATCGAGATCTGCCTTGTTGCCCACCAGCCATATGACAGTAGATCCTGCAATGTATTGTTTCTCGAGCTCCTTGAGCCACACTTGAGCTCTGACAAACGTTTCCTACGGTGACACAAGCACAGAACAACACATGATGGCATGCGCTAGCCAAGATGGGATAAGATAAGTAATTTCCACCATCAGGTTCCTTTTTACCCTTTTGCTGATGTCGTAGACCAAAAGTACAGCGTGGGCTCCTCTGTAGTACAGTGGGGTGATGCTGTGGTACTTCTCCTGCCCTGCAGTGTCCCAGATTTCAAATCGAAAAGTGACGTCGCTCAGATGCACCATCCGGGTAAAGTAGGCACCTGGAGGAGCCAAAACTAGTTAGCTTGTTCTCCAATAGGCCTAAAGAGGGGGTGGATTATATTTAAGTAGCACTGGACCAGGACGTGTGTGTTTCAAATTGAAAGTAGTAGTAAAAGCCAGTTACACATCAAAACAAAGTCAAACTATGATGACATGAAATTTTGTAAAGTAAGTATTCAGATAATACTGGATCAATAAATTGAATAAAGCATGACTAATAAATAGTACTCAGAGGAGCAAGATGTTGGCAGATACATTCAGCATAGTGAAACATCTTTCTGCAGTTAATGTGCAAAGTAGAGTAAAAACTGTAGAATATCTAGAGGTTGCAAGAATGTAAACAGTAAAATATATCTGAAGTATGTAGAGCCCACATTTCTTCTAGTATTAGTAACGCTCGTGGGTGTGACATTATTATTATTACTTTTTTTTTTACTAGAAAGTTCTTATGTGTCTTATATGAGCAACTTTTTTTTTTTTTAAAGCCTTACTTTACAATTTTGTCTAGTTAATATTTCATTTTGGGATCTTAATAGAGTTACTGGAGTTAGATGAGAAGATAGATACCACCACAGCCTTAACTTTAAGCCCCGATTGATCCCCACAACTTCATTATTCAAAATATGAATAATTCTCATCAAAGTAAATTCAACAGTTGTGTCTTGACTGTTGATCAGACAACAAAAAAATAAATAAATAAAAAACTGTATATGTTTCACAGAATAACACGTGGCATGTATCTCCATTTAACTTTTTTCTATACTAGGTGATCAATTAATCATGAAGAATGTAATTTTCAAATCTGTTGCCACCTTGCAGCTCTGATCTGATGGACTTCATGACTGTGCTCAAAAAATTAAGGGAATTTGGTAAAAACACAACTTTAAAACAAATCAGCACAATCCAAACTTAAAGAAGCCAAAATCCTGTTTTTCATTGTTTCTTTCTTTAAATCGTAAGTACATGTATGTGTGTTACAGTGTGTCTCAATACTAACAAAATATAAACATTCATATAACATATAAACATATAAACACACATATAAACAATGTAAACATGTTTCTCGACCTGTTGTGATGTCACAACAGGAGAAGCACCGCCCCTTAGCTGACTTATGTGTAGTTCAAATTGTGATTAATCAGGTAGTAGACCCAAGTAACATGGAATATTAAAGGTTTCAAGGTCCCTGGGTGATTCTAACACTGGATACCGCTCTTGTGTCTGTATGTTATTTAGGCTAGCTACAGCAAGGACACAGTTAGCCTGGTTAAGCATGGCGGAGAACAACACTAGTCCGACTCTGTCCAGTGGTCGCCTGACTAACTGGAGGAAGACTTCAGGTATAAGCTTGCAATTCATGTAGATTTCTTAGAAACAACAACCTGTGGTCAACCTTTTGTTGAAGCTTTGGATTGTGCAGTGAGGCCGCCCTGCTAGTTTACTTCAATAATTCTCCATTTCAATGGCAGCCATGCTGGGGGTTTGTATGCTAAGCTAACTATCTCCAGGCTATAGCTTCATAGCCAGCATAAAAACATAAGAGCGGCATCAATCTTCTCATCTAAGTCTCTGTAAAAATAAATAAATAAATAAAATAAAAATCAGAATGTCAAAATTTAAAACTATTCCATCATGAGAGTCAATAGATGCAACATGATGGTATTGAACCCCTGCTGTCCACAGCTCAGAGTGTCATGAACTCACAGCCCACTGTAGGTGATGTACTGCTGAACTGGTCCTTGCTGAATCGTATAGCCAGACTGGACTTTCCCACACCGGAGCTTCCCAGGAGTGCCATCTTAACCCTGAGGGTCTTCACCGGCTTCCTCAGAGCGTCACTGTGGTGCTGGGCTCCGCTTGGGAGACTTTCCCCCATTGAGAATTTTACTTGACTCCAGAACAGCGATGTGCAACAGGTGAACAAGGTATAAGAAGTCAAGAAAGGTCCTCAAAGTCCGGATTCGGCTGTCTATTTCCAGGTGGAATTCTCTCCTTTTTGTTGGCTTTGTTTGTAAGACTCTGCGACTGTGGCAGCGTTGCATTGAAAATAAAAATAAAACCAAAGTTCAGTCTTGTACGAGCCGCCAACACAAGTTTACTTCCTTGTACACACCTACACTTGACCTATAAAACCCAGTCGAGCATAAGTAAACCATTACCCGCCACCTTAGTAGTTTGGCCTCATTCAGGACGACTCTATTGGCCAATCTATGGGCATGCTTCTCTTAATGGCATTTGTGGAATTCCTGCAAAGAGAAAGTGAAAAGGTTGTGGGGAAACTGTTGATCCTATTCCAAATGTCACTGGTGCTTCTCCTTAACTCAGCTGTGCATGCTATAAGGAAAGAAGATCACTCATTCAAAATGACATACAGAAACACAGGGAGTTGTCTGACTTCGTGTACATGCAGTATGTCAGAGATGTTATGTGGGCTGCAGCTGGCCTGTTTTTAACTCCTCGTCTCCTTGCATGATGCTCTAACAACACAGGAGGGCAGCATTGCATACATTATAGACTTGTGAATCCATCCTCTGATATTCTCTTGTAAAGGATGGTTTCATTTGATTTTGACTATTAAATATAAAGCTTTGGCATGGAAAAGCTGATTCAGCAAAAAATATTAATGAATTCCAGAAAATGTTAGTACTCCACCAGTTTGTTCAAGCCTGATAATCCATGTTATCCCAGCTTCTTGTCCTGTCGGGAATGTTTCTCAGTTTTTAATGCCTCATAAATGTTTAGTGGGGTTGAGGTCAGGTGACTGAGGAGGCAGCGTGAATCGTTTTGTGCAGGAATTCAAACCGGAGCGTGTTTCTGAAGGCCAAAGAGCTACTTCTCCTTTGGTCAGGGTGGAGTCGATTCAAGTCTCCAACTGCAAAGTGGCAAAACACCCTCTGACCGAAAAATTCCTGGCAACATATTCAACTGTGGGTTTGATGCCCTGTGGCGTCGTTCTTTCCAGTGTTGCTCTTCTTACATACATCCTTCTGCTGCAGTCGTAGTAAATGGGAAGTTTTTCCATCATCCGCAGTCAACCACTGCCATGTTTTGGCCCAAATGAAGCTTGGATGCTACTCGTCCTCTGATTGATTTGGTTCATTCAGTCGATCTAGATATAGAGCAGTATGTGAAGTAGTTCTTCTTTATATCACGTCGTGTTTTTAAGTGTTTCTAAATCCTCAAACTCTGAATATTTCCAGGTTTGCATGAGTTTATTCTGAAAATATCAGCCATGCTCTCTTACAAGTGCCCTGAGCCGGGTAATAACTTTCCATCATCATCTCACATCTTAGTAAGAAAAACATGACCTGTGCATCATTTCCCTTGTGAATCTGGTCAAACCTGTCTTGAAATTACACTGTAATGAGAGACGGCACTGTTGTCAGCCTTATATTTCTTTAAAAAAAGATAAAAGACCAGGTTTATTTGTCCCTTTAAGGTTGCAAAACAAAGAAACACAATGAAGTACAATAAAAATGTATGCACCAGAAGCTCACATTCCTCACCATGACAGTACTGATATGACATTAGACTTACAGGAAAAAAATATCCAACAAAAAAAGTGTTTCTACAGTTTGCAGTTCCAGCACAGTGTGAACAGCTATCCCACACACTGCACTGAGCTGTTACATCAACATTAGATGGTGTTTGACTTGCAGTATAAAGCCATTCAGACCGGAGGCCACGTCTATCTCTTTAAGAAACGCTGGACTGTTTTTAGAGCAGGCTGGTCATCATTAAAAATAGCAGAGGGGGTGTGAGAGAGTGGATAGTCCACACTGCTGAAACTGAGCCCCTGAACATGTATGATGTCCCTGTCCAGAGGTTGAAGGTGCGTTCAAGGACTGTGTGGAAAGTACTCATCCTAGAGTTTGAACATGCACACATAACCAAAACAGTTTAATTAATTCATTTTGATTAGTGTCTTCTTTGTGGGTAAAAGTTACCGACTCAGTATATGGTTACCACAGCTTTTAATGGCAAAAACGATGATTTCTGCACACATGAATGCATTTTGTTCACTGAATTGCCCAAAGGAATTGAAAAATAAATATATCCGTGGAACCATTTCTCTGCTGGTTCCATAGAGATGCATTTTAAAACCACAACCAGCCCCCATGCAACTGCATAAAACTCAGTAGTTCTGACAAACCCCAACATATTTATAGTGATTGTGTAGAAATCCAAAGTTTCTCATTCTTGCCATTGAAATGAGTATCGCAGATTCCTATATTCAAATAAAGAATCTTATAGTTAAAGCAGGTATGATTTAGCTGTGGATTTATCTGAAGCTCTTGAACAGACTCTTACTAACTATAGAATAGTACCTATACCGTTTCAAATCGTGCACTTTTCATTTTCAGGACATACTACAGCCTCCCTTACAAAGAGAGTACTGTTGCATGCTGTATGTATACAACTATGACATTCCACTTAAATGTGATGATTCTGCTCATATATCCATCACAGTCTGCACCTGTTTGTGTGTCTCTGCAGCTCAAGCTTGAACTGTGACACATGCAGAGGACTGGGGGGGTCAGAGTTTCTGGCAAACTGCATTTGACATACTTTGTATTGGAACAGGGCTGCAAGGTGGCGCAGTTGGTTAGCACCGTTGCCTCGCAGCAAGAAGGTCGCCGGTTCGCGTCCGGGATCTTTCTGCATGGAGTTTGCATGTTCTCCCCACGTTCTCCCCGTGCAGCGTGGGTTCTCTCCGGGTTCTCCGGCTTCCTCCCACACAGTCCAAAAACATGTTGAGGTTAATTGGTGATTCTAAATTGTCCGTAGGTGTGAATGTGAGTGTGCTTGGTTGTCTGTCTCTAAGTGTAGCCCTGTGATAGACTGGCGACCTGTCCAGGGTGTCTCCTGCCTTCACCCTGAGTCAGCTGGGATAGACTCCAGCCCCCCATGACCCTAGTGAGGATTAAGCGGTGTATACATAATGGATGGTAAGTGCTAAGTGAGATGCTAGTAATGAAACATACTAGATCTTTTTTCTGGCTTACTATACAGTGTGTATACAGTGCACTCCTGCTTTGAGAAAAAAAGAAAAAGAAAGCTGGGTGGACAGTTTAATTCAAGATTCAAAACCATAATTTGTCACAAACACAATTATACAACAAATCAGTGCAACATAGACACTTTTGACATGTAATTTACATTTAAGTTCCATTACATTTACATTTTGCAGAAAACAAATGATAGCATTTGGCAGTCCTTAACAAAATACACATTGAACCTGACAGGTAGGTACTTGATCGAGTGACCAAAACAAAAACAAAAAAAAGACAAAAAAGTGCTCAGTATTCCATCATTCAGTGGTATAACAACAAAGAAGTAAAAAGATGAGATAAAATAAATAAGATCAAGATACATAAAAGAGGGTGACATAAAAATCATAGTTGGACTTCCACATGGCAGTCCTACCTGCTTAGTGATTAGTGAACAGTGATTTTTTGGGATAAAAGAAAAAAAGAAAACATAAACGAGCCATTTTGCCACCCCAGTCTTAGTAATGGTCTCAGCCCGGCCTTTTTTTCCATTATGCTACGACAAAAACCTAAATATCCGACAGCCCGTGAAGGCAGCCTGCGAGAGTTGAGTCTTTGAAGCTGATCAGTGATCAGACTCCGACAGGTGGTGGAGGCGCACCGCTGCGACGTGAACGCCTCACCGTTGGAGAACATTTTTTTTTATTTTTTCATTTTAGTTCAGCCACAGTTAACGCTTCTACTTTTTCTTTTTTTTCTTTTTTATAGTCGGTGTTACCTTTACCGTCTCGGACAGCCAGGTAGGCTCTCGGTTTAACGGGACACAGCGCGAACTTCTCACCGAATTTTTCCAGTAAAAAAAAAACAAAAAACCGAGCAGAGGCGCACGTGCTGCAGATGCTGGCGCGTCGTCCGCGAGCACAGGAAGAAGTGCGCTGACGGATGTCTCACAATGACCCACGCCGTGAACGCGGCCAGCCACGGGTTCGTGTGTCATCCCTCCGCCGACTCCTAACTCGACGTTTTTAGCCGCGCGTGAGACCGAACCGCTCCGTTTGGATTATCGCCGCAACCGTGAATTGAATTGAATCAGCCGCGCGTGGATGAGCGTTTGAACATGGGCACTCAGGGCACGGGACGGAAAAGGTCCACCAAGAAGGAGAGGTCGACGGCAGAGGACGATGCCCTGAATCTCATAGCCAGAGAGGTGAGCGGGGCTTTACAGTCCCTTATTGGCATATTTCAAGAGAGAAACACAACTTTGAAGAGCCGCAACTTGTATTAATCCGCACCACAGTGACGCTCCTTTAACATTATACGAACCTACCTTCTGTCTTCCTTAAACTTTTATAGAGAGACTTACAGTTGCAGTAACTCTTCATTTCTCATGTTTAAACTCCAACAAATTAACCGAAATGGCCAATTAACTTGTCGATTAATCGATTAGTTGGGTCTACAAAACCTCAGAGAATGGTGTGTCACCAACACAAGATGACAGATGTGTTGGTTTATCCCAAAGATATTCAGTTTATAGTCATAGAGGAGGAAAGAAAGCATTCATATTTAAGAAGCTGAAATCAAAGGATTTAGATTTTTTTCCCCTTAAAAAACTACTCAAATCGATTAAACACACGTCAGAATAGTTGGCAGTTCATATAAGTCAAGAAATTGATTATCATTAAGGCTCTAGCTTATATCCTCAATAAAAACAAGTAGGTCTTAATACACTTGACTGATTATATATATATATATATATATATATACCTGTGTATGTATTTTTTATCTACGTATGTGTATATATGACATCATTTTTCACCATTTCCTGACATTTCTGACCAAACAACTAATTGGTGACAATAAATAAATGAATCAACAATGAAAATAATTTGTTAGCAATGTGTTTAAAAATCTCTTCTTTCATTGGTCCATTTATCCTCCTTTACATTGAGAAAAACTCACAAGCCAAAGAGCACATACATAAGCCTATATTAGCCCTTAAGCTTTCAACTATACATGCAAATTACTATAATTTACATGAACTCAACCCCGCTGTTAATTACCTTTCATTGCAGGTTCTAGTGTTTATCTGCCAGTTGTGTACAACGTTCAGGGCCGGTGTCGGCTGACATGTTGTTAACCCGATACATCAGTCTGTCAGAACAGCCCTCTAATGTGATATTTGTAATTATCATACATCATAATCTCTTGCAGAAAACTCTGCGCTCAAGGCTGCGTGAAAACCCATTGCAGCGGCAGATCTCGTAAACACATGTGATTAAGATGGTTTACTGTACTTTGGAATAAGCCTTTCGTGTGCTGACCTGCATGAATCGCTGGGCTGCCTCTGAATATTGCGAGACCGGAGCTGGCAGCGGTTGCCTGTAGTTGCTTCTGACAGGTGCTGAAGTCGTGTCACAGCAGGTTTCAAAGTGTCTAATCCCTTCTATTATTATCTGCTCTAGTGTGGTGTAAATTGGTGTTTTATAGTAGGAATAGTGTCTTCGAGACTTAAGTCGGCCCTGTTTGAAGTGTGATACCCGGCAGTCGTTTTGCAATTACAAAGCTAGATGTCAATATTTATGTGTATTAACAGAAACCTTACTTTTATTGTTAACTAGAAACACTGCAGCAGCTTTTGAATATGTATATTAATGGAATATTGGGTGTACTATAGTGAGATGGTGAGAACCTGAACCAACAGCCTGATTCAGCGCTGCTTGGTTCAGCTGGGAGGAAGTTGTGTCTGTGCTAACTCAACCCGGATGTTTCAGCAGCTTTGCATATCGCTTTTTAACTGACGTGCTCGCCCCAGAGTCTTGTTAAATCCTGCAGAGGTTTGGCTGTTTTAAAGATTATCTACCGCCGCTTAGCTGCTTTGACTATTTACACTGGAGTAGGCCGTCTGAGGTTGCACATTCCTGCAGCTAGTAATTGTTTCTTGTCGTAGTCTATTTGCAGGGGCAGGAATGTTAACTCAGCCGAGGTTTGAGGAGATGAGGAGTCTGACAGAGCTCACAAACGGTAGCGGCAGATATTGTCCAAACAGGAGATAACCTGCGATGACTGACTGACTGGCTCCTCATCTGAAGGCACAGCTCCAGCAATAAAAACTTTTAATTGTGGTCAGTTTTCTCTTCCATCCGCGCAGCAAGGAGAAAGTCTGCGCCTTTAAGCAGCAGATGGGTCAAGTCCCTCACTGGCAGTCCTCTGACAGGATGGTATGCCAGCCCTGATGAGCTGGCCCGTTCTGCAAAAGAGTTTTAAAAATAGACGCTCCTGAAAGATCAGCTGTTGCAGCCACCCCAGTTTTAGATTTAGTCTGTGGGTGGGGGGATGGGCACGGAGGAGGATGGATGTGGCTCACCAACTGGCCGACCCACCAGCGTAGGAACGGCTTCTTCTGCTTCTACCCTGTTGCAGAATTTAGTCTGTACAGTTTAGTACAAGCAGTTTGATAGTTCCTGCTTTAAGTTGTGAAAGTTGTGGTGAGTCGGTGTTATGTGGCTGTACGTTTCTCAACCCTCCTTTAATGATTGCGAGGCTCTGAGAAACTGACAGTAATGTAAACCTGACTAATCGTGGAACAAATGGGAGAAGACCACACAGCGGGAAAGAATGTCCACGCTGGATACCAGGGCGTTAGTTAGCCTGTGCTTTGGGGGAGTTGGTTCCCTGCCTCCTGTCAAACAATCTGAATCCAGCTGTAAACATGAATTTGTGCTGCAACTCAATGATAGTGCTGTAGCTGACCTGTGTACATACGAATAAAGCGTTCAGGGCTGTGTTTGTCTTTACCGTGTAATTTAATTAACATGAATGTTCGTCTCAGAAGCCATTTACAAACAATTTTGACAAATAGAGGAATAGCATCTACTGATTTTTTGCAAAGAATTATGCATCCTCTAAATATTTAAGTACGCTGTATCGCCAAAACCATGAGTGCGTTGGAGAAACATGTCAAACACACTCTGGATGATCTAATTTAGAAGCGGAGTACTCTGCTGCACATCCTCACGGGTGTTTTCAGTCATTCTTGGCTGATTAAACTGATCCACGAATTCACCAGATTTCGAGCCTTTTTCTCAGAAGTCATTTTGACATGTCACAGCAGGAACAACAGGTGTAAACAACCAGATGAATGATTTCCACGTCTTCAGTTTCAGGGCCGCGATATCCATGCGTCCCGCTCGCCTGCTTTTCGGGGACGCCTGAATCGAACAGTCATGTTAATGCTGTTAGTGACACCTGTGCTTTTTCGTAGCAGCCTATGACGAGGCAAAATTTCTGCTATGGTGGGAACGATTTATTTATCCTGCCTGGCAGCAAAGCTAACAGAGTCAAGGACGTATCAGTTGAGCACAGTCTGCACACACCCACACGGTCCTAAGAGGAGGTCTGATCAGACAAACTAAAATCACTTGTCTGGATTTATGGCTGTTCATTAAATGCATACAGTGTCAGCTATCAGCAGTAATAACACCACCACCACCACAGTAGCAACAAATTAAGCATGACCACCATTAGGGGAAAAAAAGTGCATATTTCCTACGCCGAATGACTCGGCAAAAAATCAGCAAAGTGCATCCCAAATGGTAGTTTGTAGCCTCTAGCTTTGGACAAGTACTGGCTTTAGGGGTGAAAACATCTGCGATATTCCATCCCACATGTTTTGCTCTGGCTAAGCAATTATTAAATGAATTACCATTAAATGTACCTATGATAACTAGAGGAGAAGTTGTACTTGCTTTGGCGATGTCACAACTTTTTCACCGTGAGAAGGACTTTTATTTTGGTGGCATTTGTGTGCAGTTGGAAAATTGCCAGTGAAATTTGGCTTCAGACATGAATTTTCCCCTCAAAAGTGATTTGTAGTGACTTTTCCTCTAGTGCCTCCTTAGGTCAACATTTTTATTGAACACTATCTAAAACTAATGGAACAACCTCAGCTGTACTTTGTGTCGACTGCCAGTTAGCAGATGTTGGGGGATGCTACAGCTAGATGATAAATGTGGTAAAGAGTATACTGGCTAAATGTTCATAAACATTTTTCAGTATCAACAAGAGACGTCTGCAGCTGTTCTGCTTCTAGACAAAAAATGAATGTAAATAGGAACAGGAAAATGCTGATTGCTTAGAAGGATGTGCTTAAGAGGAACACCTGCTGTTAGAGACCTGCAAGACCAACAGGTGATGCATCGTTCCTATTTCTTACATGGGAAGTGCACGCTCAGCATACTTCTCTAACAGGCCTTCGGTGCTTGTTTGCTCGTGGAGGGTTTTGGACCAGTCCGCTGCAGCTTTCGGGTTTGGTGATTACTTACTTACCAGCTGAACATAAAGCTCTGAGAATGAGACAATTTAGTAAAAAAGGATTATTCAGATTCCCACATGCACATCTTGCTGTCAGGGATTTCAGCGTATTTGTGACCAGCTGTCTGTCAGTTAAGCTACATTTGTGCTTGCTCTAGGCTTTTAAACTGCAATTATCAAATTTATTAAAAAAATTCTAAGTCAATTTATCATTTCCAACATGTACTTGCTGGTGGATCACCTTTTCTTTACAGCTGCGTTGTTTCCTGCATTCTCAAAATAGGAAACCTGTGCTTAGTGTCACCATTTTAACCATCACCGTGTCACAGGAATAAGCTGAGTGTCCAGGCAACACTGTACCAGCTAACCTGGGGACTATTCAGGCTCAGCAGTCCGTTATACACTGTGAGCTTACACTATTCTACTCCCACACTACATCTTCCTCCTAGGAAATGCAAAACCCTGCAGCATTTTCAAAAATGTTCTTACAAGTGAATGTTAAATAGATGCTATTCGGGGTCTGTGGTTTTCTGTTTCTCACACTATACAAATGCAAAAGGATATGTTGAGGACAGGTTTAGTGTACAAGTGCAGTTGTATTGAGGTTATTTTGACAATTATTCATCCAACGCTAAGTTGAATCCTCCAATATTGACATCGAGCATGGTTATTAACTGGGCTAGAAAAAGATATCTGAAAATGATTCTCTTGGTTTGAGTGGGTTTTAGTGAGTAGCCAACATGACAACAGTTGTTCATGTAGTGTGCAGCGTGCACTGATCTGCCACAACATTAAAACCACCTGCCGGATCTCCATTGTGCTGCCACAATACCTCCGACCCACCGGACAGTGGACATGTGATGTGGGCAGCAGAGTTTTGGGGTTTGGAGATGGGGG